AAAAGGAAAGGTACCAGTGGCGCCTTGGCCACTGGCCTGGAAGCTAAATGGGTGCGCGATTGGACTACCAATGTCCAACAGTTTCTCGAAGGCGTAATTACTAGTTGCGGAGTAGCAGACTGGAAGATGAAGATGACTTACGCGGTCAGCTTGACCGCTCGTTTGTTCTTCGAGCAACTGCTTGACCATGACCAGTATCTCGGGTGGTTCCTCGCATCGCTGGAGGCAGCTCCATTTAACAGCTTGCCAGTCTGGCTTCTAATGTTAGGGATCTACTGGAGCAACATCCTGCGATATAGGAAGCGGGGTCGGCGGCTCGCTGAACTCTTACTTGACAAACTGCAACTAGCTATCAAGTCGGATTCGGCCACATCCCTTCGCCCGTTGACAGACCGATTGTCACTGCATATCAGAAAGCTAACACTTGAGCATACTTCATCCATGGTGCTTCCACACTCATGGGAGAAGTACAAAGATAATCTATCGTCCTGTTTGAACCTAAACGACAATGTGCACAGAGCTGTTTTCCAAAACTTGGCTGAGCGAAATGCGCGGGTGCAGCGGCCTCGAAAATGTCAAGAGATAACACAACAACCGCCACAGCAACGCATCATCCAGCTGTTCGACTCGATACGCTCTTCGCACGACATCACATCTGTTTCCGCTGCATCTTTGGGTGCGATAGATGACAAAGCTGCTCTGGTTGTCAAACTGCTCGAGTGGGCAGCCACCCCGTTTCGCTATGGTGTATCTCGTGTTTATATCGGCGCCCGCCTCCTGCGCAAATGGAAGATCACTGGAGTCGATGTGGATGCCTGCATCATTTCCTTCCTTGCCGAGAGTCAGATGAATGATCAATTGAATATGGACAACATCTATCACATCGTCTCGGAGCTCGTTAGGTCCCAGACATTTTCGGTTGGAAAGTACCTTCAATGGCTGATGGCAAAAGGGGTTGCAGAATTTTCCCGAAACTCCGAGCATAAGCCACTTTCGGGGGACCTTGCACTTCTCATCCAACTCCCTGTGAGCCGTCTTCCTGAGCATGTACGCAACCTCCGTAACACTCTGCTGCATCGCGCCGGAGTCGAAGTTTCGAAAGAGGCTTCTACCATCGCCGTACTCAAGGCATCAATAGCTGAACGCCTTCCAAGGATCTTTGGTTCTGTCGCGAAAAGTGCATTGTCCCGTGACCCTTTACCGTCAGATCTGACCTGGGCCATCAAATCTGAGCTTGGTCAGTGGATTCGGCGTGGAGTTACTGAATTTGGGCGGGATCCTGGTAGCGCATTTCAGAATCTCCATTCCGCCCCTGGCGCAGAGCAATTCGCACTCACGCCTGGCGAATTCTATACCATAAGGGACATTTTGGAAAGTTTCGGCGATCTTTCAATTCTTGCGGACGTACTCAAGCAGGCCACCGTTTGCAATGATGGAATTGTTTTGGCATCCGCTGCCGATACAGTCAATTATCATTTTCGTTCTTTCTGTGTTATCGGTGCTACAACCGATCTTTTCAAGAGGCTGGTGGAGTCATATGCCCGCCTCAAACGGCTTGGATCGGCCTCCTTGGACTTGATCTTCTCATTGATAGACCTTGGGCTTCAGCTACCCGGAGAGCTCAATACAGTTGCTCTTCTCCGTCAAGACCTCTCCCGGATTGAAAGCAAGTCTTCTATGGCAGCACCATCACCACTGTCTGATCACATACCCGCTACTTTCAATGAAGCCGACCCGCTCTTTCTAGTGAAGCTAGACCAGCTCCTCTCGTCCGCAAGTGGTATAGATGAGTCCACATTGGATACGATTTTTAACCTTCTCATCAAACAAATAGAATCCAGCGGTAATCATGCTAAGCTCTCGATAAATGAGACATGCAGATATTTATCGTACCTCAGACCTTTTCATCCCAAGCGTTTCGACATCATGATAGTCCGCTGGATCTCTGGCCTTCTCAAATCCACCACCGGAGCGATGCTGTCCCAAATCCTGCCTCCTTTGATTGGCGTTGGATGCGTTACCCTTCCAGCCTTCATGTTCCTCGTGCGAAGGCTTCTCAAGTCCGAGAATATGATATCCAACCCAAGAGACTTGCGCATAGGTCTTCTTCAGCTTCTTGTACCTCCGCCGGCAGGCCAGAGGCGATACTTCGACATGGTCACATATCGCTTCCATCTGTCACGGAAAGAATTTTTGTTCAAGCACCCTGAGGAGGTTTTCAACACTATCCGGGATGCTATCGCCTTGGTTGATTCGCAAAGCCAAGAAGGAACTTATCGTCAGGGGCCAGCGGATCTAGGTCATAGTGCGATGGTACTCCTTCAGATTTTGCTCACCCAGAATCCAGAAAGTGCCGTTCAGCACTGCACGGAGAAACTTATTGGTCAGCATCCGTCCGCAGTGACAGTTTTGACAAGAGCGCTCGATTCCCTTCTGGGATTGGATACCAAAGCAGGTGAGCCCTTATCCACATCGAACGATTATTTTATCGTCATTCCCATTGACACCGGGTTCAGCGCCCCCAGACATATCAGTCGCTGAAAAGGTCATCGAACTGACCAACGATTTCTCCCTCCCGTTCTGTCAATTGAAGCTTCAGCTTCTATTCAACGCGGAAACTAAGGGCGATGTGAGAAACGAGATAGTGGACGTGATGTTCAAAGCTGCAGTTGCAGACTCTCGCTCAAGACGATCCAACTGGGTGGGATTGGTTCGTCTGATGAGTCATGATGCAGTCCGACAGGTAAGGTGCCATGATGAAGCTTTAATAAAGTTTCCACACTAATTTGTCTAGATTCGAGAACGAGCGGAGAAAAATTTCTTCGCTATACCCTTGTTTGAGGAGTCGCTCGATGGCTGTTCATCGTTTGTCGCAGACAACAGCAGCTCACTCGAAACGGCGAAGCTGTACCTGACGATCATTGAGAAGCTGGCGTATAGCATTCCCGATGCGGGCCCACAGGCCGTTGTCCCTGTCCTCACCGAGAAGATGGATTTACTGCTCCAGAGACTTATCAGCATGCAAGCGAACTACAGTGGAACTACTGAGCTTAGCCATGGAGTTGACGCAGAACAAATGGTCCGATCTCGCGCGCAGTTCGAGAGAGCCCTTGCGTTCTGGTTCTCTGCGTTGCTCAGGATGATTGTCCTTCACCGGACTGCTTTCAGTGTGCCATCAGCCGCACTCAGACCCACCGCATTGCCAGAGCAAACGCGCTTGCTGATATCGATATTCTGCATAACTCTCGCGCGTCTTCCAGATAGTGTGTTGCGACTCTTTCCAGCGGCCGACTACTTTCCCCACTCGATGAGAGCAGGAGACTGTCGTCCTTGTCCGGGTATCCTGCTGCAGACGCATGCCCTGGATGTTGCAGCATCCTTGATTGATACATTTCCGGATGAAGCCCGTCATCAATGCGCTCGCTATCTGAGGGAGAAATGCCCTCCTTTCGCTCGGGTTCAGAATGACTCGCGCTTCCTCTACCTTCTTGGTCCCCTTGGCGATAGCCCATCTTCTAACCTTACACTTCCTATGTCGCTTCCATCACCTGCTGCTTCTGGCTCCACTCCCGCCCCTACTCCTTCGGGTAATTTTACAGGCGGACCCTCTCATCTCCAACAACCTGCGTATGTTTCAGGTGTGCCGACTGGACTGCCAGATGGCTTGAACTGCGGTGCTAGCCATCTTTGTCTTCAATACCGTGGCCGGGCCATTGGTGCTTACCCTGTACGTCCATGGGAACTCCTCGAAGATGCTGCTCCCATTGCTGGTACCAACGACACTGCAGTCAGTCTAGGATACTTTGATGCCCGGCGTGTCAGGGTTTAGCACATCAAGATCTAGTTGACTACTCATCTATCTACGTCATGCCCCTGTACATATCATCTCTCTGATTGGTCATTTTGGTGTTGTCTTCATTTGATTCTTTCATATTCCCGAAGTTTGATACCTTATCCAATCGCATCTCTTCCTCCCTCTTCCTCTCAGTTCTTGCTACATGGCTCCGAAAGAACTCCTGGCCGAAGTCTTTCACATTGTCGACTCGTTCTTGTCCACAGCCGGTTACGCTCGCTCATTCCAGCTATCGTGTCTTATTGCATTTGCATCATGTCCGTGCCACCTGTGCATTTGATCTTGCGCTCTTTTTTTTCTTTTTTTTTTTTTTGATGGACTGTTTCACTTGAAGAAAGTGTTTGGAATGTGAGAATCCCGGTGCGCAAACATATGCTTATTGACATCGCATTTGGCTTCTGCATGGTTGAGAGCATTCATGGCGACATATATAGAGCCTGGCGTTCATAAGGGATGGGTGGTTCATCGGCGGACAGCATACACATACGTTAAGATACTTCATGGCACGATATCAAATGGCCTTAATTTACGGGATATGACTATGTTTTGTTATTACATTCGGGTTCCTTGTATTTTTGACAGGGTCTAGACTAAAGGATTGACTCATGCTTGACGAAATTGTCCTGATCATTATGATATCACGAATAGATACGGTCGAGGCAGCCCCTGGTTCCCAGGGCAGCATTGTCCTATACCTAAGTGGTTTGCGACAAGGTGCAGTGGGCTCTCTGAGCGGCATCAATATATTCTAAGTGAAAAGGTTGAAACAAGTTGTGTTGGTCATTGTGTTATCCCCAGTCAAACATACATACATGCCTGGTACTCCCATATCATTCAACCAGATATATAGACAGAATAGACATTATCCCATTTCCTTTATCCATCAAGATTATCAAAAGGGTATAGAGCTTGATCGATGAATCATCCAACATATGATACACATAGGCCATAAGCATCTTGCAAACAAAGTCCAGCTCCAAAACGCCATATAACAATATGCCTTGATGCTTGAGTGCCGGTAACCAGCTTGACTGCTGGTTCCCACCAACCCACCCCCGGCACCCTTCCTCCAGGTAAAACTGGAACGCGGATTGCCTCCTCACATCGGAGTGAGAAGGACTTATTGCATGCCAGGCGAGGCATGCGTTTAGTTAGAGTTGGAGGAGGACTTGAACTCGATGGTGTTCGAGTCCAAGCCCGAGATTGACGGTTCCTCCGTCTTGTCGTTGTTGTGGTTGTTGTGATTGTCGTTGTCTCCGTTGCCGAAAAATAGTTCGATATCGGGTTTTCGAGGCGGCAAATCGGCGCTAGAGCTGCAGGAGCGCAATCGTAGGCGTGCGGATGAGCCGGTGCTCACTGAAACACTGCGGCTTCCGGATCGTCGCCCTCGGCTGGATTCTCCTACGCACTCTGGGACGACTTCCAGGTAGGAAGTGAAAGTTGTGGTGGAGGTGGATGTCGACTCGATGAGAGACTCGAAGTCGGCAGTGCTAGGGGCGGACGCTGTGTTGGACGAGTGTTTGGAGTGCGAGCGGGAGTTCGAAGTCGATTCGTCTCCGTCCGTGCAACCAGCGGAGGAGTCGTTGGGTGTTGTCGAATTGTTATCGGTAGTTGAAGCAGGCGTGGGTTCGCTGCCGCTGGAGGAAGACCCGGTCCACTCTTCCCTGAGGCACTTATGTCGTTGTTCTGCCTCCAATTCTTCGACCACGTCGAGGACCAAGTCCTCGCTCAAGCCGAAGTGTGGGAGGGTGTTGATTTCTCGGGTGTAGTCTTCTACGGTTTTGCCATTGCCAGTCTTTGGCTGAAACTCGGCGGGGGGAGGCACCCGCGAACGACCCTGGTCCCGCATGGCATCGCGGGCTTCTTTGCTGCGCGAGCGTCTGAAGGAAGGGTTGGGGCCGGAGGGTTGCGGGAGCACCCAGGAAAACGTGGGACTGCCTTCAATGTCCAACGGCTGGAAGTAGTAGATCGGATGCCTTTCGAAGGCCTGTTGATATTGACTCAGAAAATGCACATAGTCGTGGGGCGTAGCTGAGTGGTGTACTGACCTTGATGGCGTCTCTGAAGTCGTCGATATAGGCGAATGTCACTGTGAAGACGGTCGTGAGAAATCCCAGGTCAAGGAAGATGACTTCTTCAAGAAAACATGATTCAAAATGGCCTCGGCCAGTGAGAGCCGTTTCAAAGTCATGTGGAGAGACTTGGTGCCCAGACCGGAGTCCAAGGCGCGCGGTTCCTATATCAGTGTGAGTAGATGTTCGGCAACAGGATAAGGTGAGACAAGTAAAACATACTCTTTCCTTTGATCTTTTCGATTCTCAGCCAGCGGTCGTGAAGCTTGATGATATCGTTCTCTGCCAGTGCAGCTACGGCATGTTCAACTTTCTGTAAAGATGAAGTTAATCTACGGTGGTACACATCAAGACGATGACAAGCGCCAGGGAGTGCTCACCTCGAACTGCACAAAGGCTGTGGGGATTTTCCGCTTGTCACGCTTGACCTTGACATGACATGGACCGAATGTAGAGAACCTTTGCTGGATATCCCGTACCAGGTCTTTGTCCTCGAGGGTAATTTTCAGACTAATGTATGTTAGAATTTGTATTTTCTCAAGTAGAGAATATCTTGCTACTCACTTTCCGACGAAAATACAGGCGTCTGGGGGAAACAGCCCCTGAGCGTTCTCAGCCGTGATTGCCGTATACTGCCTGTCCAGACGGGGAGGAAGAGGCTGCTGAGGCCAGTTTGGGTTCGGAAGGAGGCCAAGGACAGCCATTTCGAATTTGATAAAAAGAAAAGCGAGAATAGAACGAGTGGATGAGTTCTGGAGCTTGAAGGTTGTGAAATAAACGAATGTAGAAGTGAGTCGTTTGGTGATCAGTCGAGTACTTGTCGAACGATGGGAAGAAATGAAAGAAGTCAGAGCAGAAGTCGGGCATTTGCGGGGGATTTAAAGCCCACTGCAGGCTACCACTCTTCTTACTTTTCTGGCGGTTCCAGAAATGATGTCGGGGCATAGTATGGTTCTCTTGTCTCTGTGCTGGTCTAGCTCCTGGACCGAGCACTTGAGAAATCATGACGCCAACTGGTATCAAAACTCGGAGAACAGCTAAGTTAAAACCCCGTACGAGTAATTTATACCTTTCTGAGTCAAGAGACAAAGGACGAGGAAAGATTGTGTAGATGTCTCCATTGCGGAGGTCTCGAATGCCGCGTATGAGATCCGTCAATTCAGGATGCAAAGCAACGCATTTCACGGGCTCTGCCTTTCCTTCGTCTTCAAGAGTGAGCAGGTGGAAATATAGTGCCCTGTTCAACGGGTCGGCAATTGCAATTGCAAGCTCTGAGGTACTCGTCCTCAATGCTTCATTTGTTTGACACCTTCAAGCCAAAGCGCGCAGCCATTATTGGCTTGGTTTCGAAGGCCTTTCGATTCCTAAAGTTACATGACCGTAAATTTCGCCCGGATAGTAAACTTCCCGAGCATCCTTTCCGTTGACGTCCTCCACATCCCATGGATCTCCAGGAAAATTTTCACTGACAAAGGTCACAAGGCAGGACAAAAACGATCAGATGCAGGGATTTTCCAGTCCAGAACGTTCTCATGAAAAACCCTAAGAGAAAATCTGCTGTCATAATGAGTCGGAAAGCCAGAAGTGGTTTGTAAGGCTGTCAGGTTGCTAAGGCGTAGCAGGAGTGTAGGTGTATAGATCGATGTTTTGATGGAAGTTGGGTGGATGAGGCTAAAATAAATAAAGCAATGATTATCGATCTGATCTTATCTTCGGCCGATCAATCCGCAATTAGTTATTGGACGAATGACAGTCACTACGCAGTACGGAGGACGGAGTAGCCCAGTATGCAGCTTGGCGACATCACCATCATTTCATATAATCCTGGTCTATCTAGAGAGATATCTCTCTACTGAACAGCTTCTCTCAACACTCCAAACATCAAATAACCAAGATCTTAGATTGCTTGATATTCCGATAATATATTCACATTTAAGGGATCGAGCGCAAAATAAAACAATAAATCATGCTCCCCACGGCTAGGTGTCTGTCCGCCAAACCCGCAGGTTTTATCAAGCGCAGTGCAGAGGAGCTGAGCCGTTTATCGAGGATTGGTGGGTAGTCATCTCTTCTGTTTCTGCGCTCAATTATCAAATGCACATGCAATATAATCAGCCTACTGATATCGTTGTGTTGTATAGCCTGGAACTCCGAAGCTCTCCATACTCCCACCAAGCCCTACACTCTCCTCGACTTTGAAGATGAATCCACCGTCGCCGGGTGCAAGACCATGGCCGATCGCGCCGTTGGTGGATTCAGCACCGCCAGTCTTGACTATATCCCTGCGGACCCTTCGACGAACACACCTGCTCATGCGAGATTCCACGGGAGCATTTCAACGAAGCTTCCTAACAATTGGCGAGTAGAGAGGACGGGTGCGTTGGATTGTTCACATTGCCATAGCTTGCTGTAACCTGAGAAAACTAACCACCCTCGAAACCAATAGGATATGCCGCTTTTCGCAATAAGGACCGAGGTTTCTGGCTCTTCGGCCGACTATACTGGGATGTCGACCCGTACTCGTACCTGGCCCTTCGAGTGAAGTCCGACGGTCGGCGATACACCGTGAATATCCAGACAGACTCGATCGTCGAGACGGATATCCACCAGCATAGATTATATACTCGTCATCACCGCGTGCAAAACCAGACCTCCCGTGACAACCTCCCCTCATATTCGTCGGAAGCGGCCGAGTCACCAGAGCTCGCAGAAACCCTCTTCCCGCGCGGAATTCCTCCTTCGCTCTCCGACGTCCCTCCCGAATCTACAATCATGTCCTCTTCTGCAGCAACGTCCGGCGGCACACGCTGGGAGACCATTCTTCTGCCGTTCCACTCCTTTGTTCGTACGAATCACGGTCTTGTGGTTGAGCCGCAAACATCTCTTCTCCGCCAGCGAGTGAAGAGTATCGGTATCGGTCTTACAGACCGGGTCGAGGGTCCTTACGACTTGCGAATCCATCGTATCTGGGCTACCAACGGTATCAGCGAAGAGGAGTTCGAGGATGAGAAGCGGATCTGTGGTGCTGATGCGCTGCCTATCGACGAGGGGGTCAGAACTGGCTGGAGGGGCGACTCTCCTTCCGACCATCCCGAGGACAAGGGTAGTCAACCGGGAGGAGCAGGAAAGACGAAGGGTTTAAAGGGGTTGCGCTCGGAGTGGGAATAATGATCTACTGTATATCAGAATTCTATGTATTTGTACTATACTAATCGTACAATAACTTATTCTCTCATAGACGCTACCGATAACTATTCATTTGATCGGGAGCTGCGATTCGATGTTGTTGTTCGTGGGCCATTTAGTGCGATCTAATTACCCCCCGTGATCCTCTCCCAAGCCTCCTTGTACTTCTCAGCGGTCTTTTGTACGACCTCTTCTGTCATCCGGACTCCCTCCTTGCCTTTCAATCCCTCCGTGACGAGCCAATCCCGGAGGAATTGCTTGTCAAAGCTTTGCTGGCCGCGGCCAACTTCGTAGTCATCCTTGGGCCAGAAGCGAGACGAGTCGGGAGTCAGGACTTCGTCAGCCAGAACAACCTCATTGGTTTCCTCGTCGACACCGAACTCGAATTTCGTGTCCGCGATGATGACACCGCGCGACAGAGCGTAGGCATGTGCGGCCTTGTACAGCTGTACAGCGAGGGAAGCAACGGTCGAGGCATGCTCACCAAGAATGGCAGCGGCTGTACATCGGGATATGGTTAGCTTTGGGCACACTGCAACCTGATAGACGCTCCGGAAGCGAGGGGGGCCGTGCATACCTTGATCGGGGTGGATGTTCTCGTCATGCTCGCCTTGCTCAGCCTTGGTGCTGGGAGTGTAGATGGGGCCATCGGGGAAGGCCTCGCTCTCTCTCAGACCCGGACCGACCTTGATTCCGTGCACGGTACCGGACTTCTTGTACTCATTCCAAGCGGATCCAGTGATGTAACCCCGGACGATGGCTTCAATGGGAAGGATTCTAAGCTTGCGCACTTGCATGCTTCTGTTCTGGAGCACTGGCTGAAGCGAAGGGGGGATCTGGGGCGGGAGGTCGAGCGTAATGAAATGCGTGCGCAGAGAGGGGATAGCATCGGTCAGGATCTTGAACCATGCTTTTGTGCATAATGTGAGAAGAACACCCTTGTTTGGGATACCCTGAAAAGACAATCGTTAGCAGATCTAATATGGAGAACTATTGGCACGTCCAAGACGAAGAACCGTACATTCTCCATGATCACATCGTATGCGGAGATGCGATCAGTCGCAATGAAGAGAAGAGTCTTGTCGTCGACTTCGTAAAGATCGCGGACTTTGCCTCGGGCAATCAGGGGCAGCGCACCCTGGAGATCCGTGTTTGTAAGTGCCTCGGCCATGATTGTAATTGCACGAATGAAGGGTTGCAGTAGTGATAATCTCAAGATGTGACTAAAAGCGAGTTATGTCCCGATAAACGATAAGTTTTTTGGCGGGGTCTGCTATCAATCAAACTATGCCTCAGGCATCTACTGGGTGTCTTGCAAAATCCCTTTACAATGAAGTGCTGGATCAATTGAACCAGCAGAGCACTTTCCATAGGAGTTGCTTTGAACATAGAACCAATCAAATTTTGTGTATTCGATATCATTTGATCCTATGGTTCTCCAAGATAAAGCTCAATCGTTTGAACTCAGACGCGGTGTGTTTGTATACAAAAGACGCGCCGATGGTTTCATCGCGCAGCGAAGTTCCAGCATAGTCCTTCCATTATTGGATGAAACTCCTCTCCGGCAAAGGATATTAACTATGCAAAAGAGGAATTAGATAAAGGAAGAAGACGAAGAAGAGAAGCAAGATGAGTCGCTATCTGACTCCCTCGAAGATCGCTCTTCTGTGCCTCATCTCCATTTACACCGACGGAGTCGTTCCCAACTCCTCCGCAATTCATGTTCTTTCCTTTCTTATGTCATGTCTCAGTCCTTTGGGATCAGATGCATCTTTATCTCTGAACAAAGGCGACAGCAACTATATCGTCGCCATTAATGACCTGGAGGACGCCCTTTCATCCAAAGCTTCCTCGATCCCTGGCCGTTCGATATGGGATTTGTTTCTCAAGAAGATCTGGTCCATTGATTCTTGTGACGCTTTGGAAGTATTTTTCACTGAGATCAGCGCTATTCTTGTCAAGTCACGAGAAGAACAGATCCGCGACAGGGATAATGGTCTGGCGCCTGAGACCGGTCGTATGCGCCTCTCAAGATGCTCACCACTCGGTGCGTTCGTGAGAAGAGCCCAGCTCGAGTTTACTAGACTTCAGTTCCATGACTCTGTCAAGCTTTGGAAGGGTTTCGTGCATTACCGTCTCCCCACGTACCGTGTGTGGTCAAAGAAGAATCCATCTGCTGAACGGGACCCCGTGGACATCAATTTACTAGAGCTCAATTTGGACTCAACCAGTCACCTCGCTCAAGTGGCTTATGGAAATATCGAAATCCAAGAAGAGGATGGAACTTATGTCAGCACTAAGGATGTCGAACGACTGCTGGAGTTTCAGATTGGCGAGCTACAAAGTACGCAGACGTTCCCCTTGAAGGTGCATATTCATGATGCACACTTGCTAACGAAATGCAGGGCTAGGAGGAAGAGTCCCAGACGGCATGAAAGAGCAGCTCGAACGTATCATGGCGTCTGGCGTCGCAATACCCAATCTGACTTACTATCTAAGGTGAGACCCAGTGCGCGTAGAAACCCGCCATCCCTGACGATCTGTAGATTCCTCGATGCGTGGAGAGCCGGAGACTACCCCTCATCCTTCGACAACCTTCACAGATATTTCGATTATACAATGCATAGTCGTGACCGGAGCTCATATCAATATGCGCTGCTCAACCTCGCCATCCTTCAGGCTGATTTCGGATGCTATGGAGAAGCTGTTTCTGCGATGCAAGAGGCTGTCTCGATTGCCCGAGAGTCCCACGATATGAACTGTCTAAATTTCTGTATGAGCTGGCTATATCACTTTGGCAAAGCCTTCCCTGAGCAGATGAAAGACGTTCAGAATACGGGAATGCTCGGAAACGAGAAGGAAGGTCTTGCTTTCCTGAAGGCTAAAGCGAAGGAGACTGAGATGTGGAGTCTGCTGAGCACTACATTGCTGAGTGAAGCCAAACTCGAGCTGCAAAACGTGAGCACTCCTGGGTACCGTTGTTCTTGACCACAGTCCTGACAATACAAGGGGGAGAGTGTTGCATCTTCCATGGAAAATATCGTCCGGGCATCACATCTCAATGTTACAAGAAATTTGGTGACATCAATGGGCCCACAGCTTCTACTGCAGACTGCACTTTATGCCAGAATTGGTACCAGACCTACGCATGTGGATTTCTTTTCCGGTCCAGGCTCTAACCTCTGCAGGTGTTACCCATCTATCGTGGTTGAGTAGCGAAATATTTCGTGAATGCTACGCAAACAAGTCACCATTCGAGGACTATCTGAAGAGTACATTCCGTAGCTGTCAACTGGTATGCCAATTGTTCCCCAACTTTCTGATATCTACCTTCTGACATTCTCTCCAAAAGTTGGCGCAACAGGGTCGCTACGGTGATATCTCATCTCATATGAAGCAGGTTACACCAGAGAAGCTACGATCTCTTAGAGCGAATCAACAATGGACGTTCTTCTCTGGTATACTGCGACTAAGGCGGCATATCTGTCGGTATGTTCTCTCCTAGCTAATTGAAGATGTGGTTTCTAACAACAAACTAGGGATGATAAAGTGGCAGCAGACTACCTACTCTCCCAGCTTCAAGCGATTCAGCTCCCTGACAATGACGCCTCTCTTCTCCTATCTTTCCTTTTAATCGAATACAAAATCCGACAAGGCGACTATGGCCAGGCCTTGGACATCGTCGAGCATACGGCTCAATCCATGCACCAAGATAACTTTGACATCCATTCTCAGGTGAAGCTGCTTTGCTTCAAAGCGCGCATCTTCGAGAAAACGGGCCATCCACAACGAGGCTTCTCCCTGGCGATGCGAGCCGCCAGTATCGCGCACCGCTCCCGGCTTTTCCCAGGTCTCTGGGAAGCAATCTGCGTGCTTGGTGGAGTCCTGCTAAGTCTACGAGAATTTGAAGCTGTGAACGAAATGGTTGAGAGCATCATGCCTCAGGTCCTCGAGACCGACGACTGTGATCTAGCGGCGCGGGCGTACTCGCTTCTCGTGGACGCAAATATGGGCATGGCGGGTAAGGTGTGGAGTCAAGGACAGGACACGCCAGCTAAAAAGGAACACATGAACCGTGCCCTTGGCTACCTCGACTGCGCCTACGACCAATATGAAGAAATCGAAGATATCAAGGGACAATGTGAGATGATGGCCAAGAAAGCCACGGTGATGCACCTCACAGGCGACTTGGTCCTTGCGAATGACTACGCGGCTAAGTACCTGGATCTGCAGAAATTGAAGTGAGAAGGGAATATAGCATGCATTGCTAGTGTATAGTACCACATTTGCGTTATAACGAACAGTTATGGTGAAATCGTGAGAGCAGACAAGTCCTTTCGTAGACCAGACTGAACTGCTGCGCGGCAGGAGCATATCCATGGGACGTCCCCGGAAAATCACTCCCGAGTCCTTACCTATAGGAATGAAGGCGCATTCTACTCGTTTTCCGAGAAGCTTAGGACGAGAGTGAAGAACTTGTGTGTAACAAAAGGAAATCAATCAGCGTTGGTCTTGTAACTCCTAGTCATTTCACCAAAAAAAGCCCCAGTGCACACTCTCACAACGACTTCCGCCCCGATTTTGTGCAGTAAATATACATGCTTTCAATGCCTCTCGTCGTGAAGCCGAGATCGATCAATGGAAGCTGTTGTCCTTATCTACCATAAGGAATTTAGGTAGCCTTGTCCTTGTTGTGGTAGTTGACCTGGTCGTTCCAGCTGTAGAACAGTCAGCGAATGAACCGTGACCATGAAAGGAGAACGGGCAGAAATCCAGAGTATAGGACGAAATGGCCGCTCCACAAAGACTATTCAATGGATTGAAGACTTACAAAATGGTCTGCAGAAAATCACCAGTCAGCAAATAAACCATTGAGAAATCGTATTAGATGGCACTAACCTTGTCCCCATCGCCGAAGGGGAAGTTCTTGACACGGATGTTCTGGTAGGGGTACTCGGTACGCTCCTCGAGAGGAGGCATGTGCTCCCAGTGCTCCCAGTGCTCGTTCCACAGGTTGTAGGCATTAATGCCGCCGAGGATCAGGCAGGGGATGACGGCACTAGGCATTAGTGAGTAAAGTATTTTATGGATTCGCGGAGAAGGACGCCAATTGCGTCAGATAGCACATACTAGATGGAGAGCTTGCGCCAAAGGTCTGGTGGGCAATTGAGTTAGTATCATGCATGTTATGTCCGTATCATCATCCCACAAAATTCCTCGGGGCCAATTGGAGTATACGAACCGCTGGTGGCAGCAGCATGGTGCTTGACAGCAGCTCTCTCGCGGTTGAACTCGTTGTCGACCATCCAAGGAAGCTTGTTGTCGGTGCTGTTGAGGCGGCGCTGGAAAGCAGCGCGAGCAGGAGCGCTACGCAGCTGCTGGGCAGCGCGGAGAATGTTGCGTTGAGGGAACATGGTGCTGAGGGGCAGTCGAACGGCTGTTGCGTCTTTCTTCTGCTTTAACAGACAGTGGGATTATACGGACGTCGGGCGTTCCGGCTTAACGAAGCAAAGCCGGTTTAGCGTCCCCGTGATTCGTCTGCGGGAAGCTGGCGCCTTAGTCATCAATCAGGCCATCATCGCGTGATGTCACGGCGCCTTCACGTCACGTGCTGTCACGGGATCGTATAGCTGCAGCTACTGCCGAAGGATGAACCAGTACCACGAATCGATTTTATTGAAGGAGATGGAGTAAAATTCTCTGATCTAGATATTCTCCGAGCTCTGGCTGACTGTGCTATGTACGCTTGGAACACGCTTCACAGCAGCCGCGATGGGGTTTCGCATAACAACATGGAACGGTAAGCATGATCGATAGCGGAAACCAGTTCCCCTGCTGGATACTCGGACTGAAGATTGATTTGTCTAACAGTGAACGGGATACGGTATGCATTGTAGACATATACACTGGTAAATCGTGTGGTGCTGAGATCTAGCAGGAATCCGTTCTCGTATGAACCATGGAGAGGCAGCCGAACCTTCGAGGTAGATTTACCCAAGGTCCTTCATAGTCTGAAAACGAGAGGCTCATCATAGAATAGTCAATGTTTGATATTCTCGAGGCAGATATTGTCGTTTTTCAGGAGACCAAGATTCAACGAAAAGATCTCCGCGATGACATGGTGCTAGTGCCTGGGTGGGACTGCTACTTCAGTTTACCAAAAACCAAGAAAGGTGCGTTCTATAAGGTATAAGGCATGTTGTTCAGTTCTGACATTTTTCAGGATACTCCGGAGTTGTGATATACACTCGAAATGCGACGTGCTGTCCCATCCGCGCAGAGGAAGGTCTTGCGGGAGTTCTCTGTCCGCCCAATTCGTCAGTGTCTTTTCGAGACCTGCCTGAAGAGCAACAAATAGGAGGCTATCCAACCATTGAACAACTGTCAGAGCTAGAGATTGATGCAGCTGCTCTGGACTCGGAAGGTCGTTGCGTCATTCTGGAGTTTCCTGCATTTGTTCTGCTTGGAATTTATTCACCAGCCAATCGCGACGAATCACGGGACAATTTTCGCCATAGCTTTATTGACCTCATGGATGCTCGCATCCGAAATCTGGTTGCTATGGGGAAGAGAGTCTTTGTCACAGGAGACCTTAACATTGCGAAAGGGGAAATCGATGCAGCTCATGCTACCGAGGCCATCAAGAAGGGAAAAGTAACAGAGGACGAGTTTATATCTGTCCCGGCACGGCACGTCTTCAATCAACTGCTTTCTGACGGCAGAGTAATTGGCCAGCGCGATGAAGGGAGGGAGAATCCTGTTTTATTTGATATCTGTCGGTCGTTTCATCCCGGTCGAAGGGGAATGTACACTTGTTGGGAGCAAAGAATCATCGCTCGACCCGGGAATTATGGCTCGAGGATAGACTACGTCCTGTGTAGCCTGGATATGCAAGATTGGTCCAGCGATTCGAATATTCAAGAGGGCCTGTTGGTAAGCTCCGAGGTTGCTATGGCTTTGTTGCAGATTGATTTTCCAGCTGACTTTATGCAATTGGAGGGATCCGATCATTGCCCGGTTTATGCGGTCTTCAACGACGTCGTACGCCTTGGCGAAGAAGAGGTCAACATTCTCGACATAATGAACCCTCCCGGGATGTTCAGAGATGGCAAGCGTCAGCAGGAATACTCTACTAAATACCTTCTGCCTACGTCGGGACGCTTGATACCAGAATTCGACAAGCGGAGAAGCATCAAGGACATGTTCTCGCGTAAACCGTCTACCAACATACAGACACCAACGACGAATGCCCCGACGTTGAAACGCTTTGCCTCTACTCAGGAAATGGAAACGCCAACTGCTATTTCGGAGAGCGCTGCCAGCCGGTCTGTAGCAGTTGCTGATAGCACTCAAACGAAACAAATCGTTCGTAAGAGGTCTCAGAAAAGTGAGACTGGTTCCCCTGTCTCAGTCAAGCGTTCGAAATCCGGTTCAGCCCAACCATCGGCACCTTCCACTGCTGGACAGAGGACTCTAAAGGGGTTCTTCAAGCCTAAAAATGGTCCAGCCGGCCAAGCGACCATAGCCCAAGATTCTGCGTCGGTGTCTACCGTACCAACCAATCAATCAACCGCGTCCCCTACGAAATCTACCCCTGTTGCGGAACCTCCTGCATTGGAAGCATTACGGACGGCACCCGCTGGTGAAGCTTCACCAGGAGAACAGCCAAGTTCCGCGACTCCTACAACTCCCGCTTCGTCCCAAAACGATGACACTGTTATCGATCCCATTGTCAGCAAGGAGGACTGGTCAAAGCTCTTCACTAAGAAGCCTGTTCCCAGGTGCGAGGGTCACCAGGAACCATGCATCAGTCTGACAACTAAAAAGCCTGGCATCAACTGCGGAAGGTCGTTCTGGATCTGTCCGAGGCCACTTGGGCCCAGCGGAAACAAGGAAAAGGGGACGCAGTGGCGATGTCCTACATTTATATGGGCCAGCGATTGGAACCCTTCCGCTCCGTAGGTTTTCTGTCTGAGGCAACTTTCTTTTTTTTGATAGTGTGACGATACCCGGTTTCGTACTTAGAAGGATAGGAATGGTATGAGATATTATGGTTTCGATGATGGGACATTTAGAACAGAGTAAAGTGAGACTCTTCGAGGTATATCTGTTAGTAAACAGGAGTAAGTATGGGACGAAAAGGTGGTCGGCGAGCTGAATGCCGGGAGTACTCAGCCTGATTGAAGACTACTTATCGTCTCTCTTTAAGGCGAACGCATAGCAGTCGATTTTCCTCCAGCAAGAATCAAAAGTACCTCGTGGCCCCTGAAGAACGCATGTTCCGGTGTCCACGGCAACAAGCATGCCGGAACCGGATATGACAGGTGCACGGCTCTCAAGCGGTTGCGGCATGCAAGGGCCCGCCAGACCTCGCGGACCACCGTGCAGCATGTCTTACAGTTTGATCTAATTAAACAGGCTGCAGAAGCTGTCGGGTAGCCTTGAACAGCAAGGGGGGTAGTGTTCGGGTCGCAGACACGTTTGAACCTACTCTCGACCTCGAGCATTAGCTGGCCAGATGAGAAAAAAAGAGTGGACACTCGAGGTAACACATATTGATTAACTCCGTTCTTTGTATTTGTTTGTCTGCTATGTCCTAAGTGACTATCTAGAAGTCTGGTATTCTCGGAGTAATTACACTGATTCATCTGATGTCGTCTGAAAACAAGTCTCCAGAGTCGTCCGAGATCCTTCCATCGCCCGGGATAAAAAGATTGAAAGAAAACAAATGATCCGCGCCGGTATGGTACAGTGTCAAAGGCAACGATGTGTCGAAGCCGTCAGCTAGTGGTGCGAATGTAGAACTGTACACATGGTGCTTGCTCAAGTAACAACAACAGAAGAGGCAAAAAGACAAGCAGAGACGAAGCACACGTTCCAGTTCATCTTAGAAGCAATCAGAGATGAAGTCAGTGAACTCAAAGTTCTCTCCAATCTGACCCTCGGGAAGGCTGAGTTGCTGGTAGAGGGCAGCCTTGTTGTAATCGTTCTGCATCTGATGCATGAGATCGAACGCATTGGGTTCAAAATGATACTGCTGGTCCTCCGGCATGCCGTTAGGAGTCATGATGGCATCCATACCTGGAACACCTTCAAAAGCAGCATTGAAATCGATCTCGCCCACTGGCATGCCCTGGAGAATGGCAGGAGTGGAGACATCAGACGAGACGTTCGTCGCAGCCGGAGTATCGAGCAAGGCAGCGGGCTTGGTGTTCTTGGAGAACTAACGGGATGAAGCACGACGCTTTCTCTCAGAAGGCTAGGAGAGCTATATCAAATGTCTCTATAATTCTCGGCTTGCATATTTCTAAGCTCTTTTGCCAGGGTTGTGCCTTCGCCCAGCCCTCCTTTCATTCTGCTTTCCAGTGTCTTCCAGGCGTCATAGCCAACTTCCTTCGCGAGTGCCTAGCAGAATTCACAGGTACAAGTTGCGGCTTTTACCGGTAACTCCAACCACCTCAGGTATTTCCTGAAGAGACTTAGGCTGGTGCATTTCGAGCACAAGTGATAGGGCGGGATTGGACACACTGACTTCATTCCGACAGCAGCAACACCTGGTGTCCATCGCCTTCCGCATAACATTTGTATGTCTTCACACAAAGAATCATTGTAATTATTATAGAGCATAATACTGCTGCAGAATTATTATAAAAATCAAGTAGCGTAATAATAACGGGGAAGGCCTACTTAGTCGGAGAGGACCGGAGGAGGAGGCGGGTGAATCGATTGTCGAGAGGTCTCAGTGAAGGATAGGACATTTCTTTGTTTACATCCTGCCACAATCTCAGACTGCGACATTGTACCCAGCCTCGTTTTTTATCGAGGACAAACACTGAAAGGGATTTATCCTTTCTCTTCTCCTTTCATCGTCTTCTTCTCTTCAGAACCCTTTCCATCCCAACAACCTGTTGGATCTTCAAAGACTCCTTCTGCGTCTACACTTGCCTCTCGTCTGTTCATCTTCAGCTTCTCCTTCAAGAGCATCTTCACAGTCTAATCTTGAGAAAAGACGATCAGTCTTCTGTTCAAAATGGACGCCGCAATCTCTCCCCTCGAGCGTGCTTTCAACACCTTTTTGATGACCATGCCACAAGAGCAGCTGGAGGAGCTTCTGCAGTACCTCCAAGACACCAAAGCTCAGGAAAACAATGGTTTGCAGCTCCCAGATGCAACTCCTGCCACTGCTGCAAACTACGCTTTGGACAATCATCATGGTGTTGCCGTTCCAGTTGCCGCAACTCCTCGTCCCCTGGTTACTCGTGCCAAACGCACCCAGGAAGGAAAGAAAAGACCTCTTAACAGCTTCATCGCATTCAGAAGTGAGTCCAACTTTACCACCAAGTATAGATACACAGACTAATAAAGAATAGGCTTCTACTCTGTCATCTTTCCGGACCTCACCCAAAAGGCCAAGTCGGGCATTCTTCGCTTCATGTGGCAGAATGACCCTTTCAAGGCCAAATGGGCAATCCTCGCGAAGGCGTACTCCATCATCCGCGATGACCATGGGAGCGAGGTTTCTTTGGATCAGTTCCTGGAGATTACTGCCAAGTTCATCGGTCTGTTTGAACCCACTCGCTACCTCGACGCAATGGGTTGGCAGTTGAACTTCGATGCCCAGCAGCAATACACAATGGCTAGGGTCAAAATCACAACTATCCCTGAAGCCGATATTTCTACCAATTACTCGGTTGACGATGTCGTGAAACACTGCTATGATACTGGCTACGTGTCTGAGAAACCACGCAAGCACACCGCAAGTAACGGCAACAATACTTCCACCATGGCTTTTGCTGCTCAGCCTGCTTTCGTTGTCAAAGCGGAGAACTGCATTCAGCTCACTGGCGACGATGCTATTGTGACTGACGATGCCTTCGCAACTCCTGAAGTGGAATTCCCATCTCCCGAAGAGACAGATGACACTCAAACCCCTGATCCTGTCGAGGCAGAACCAGCTGTCCATAACTATCCTTTGGCTTTCATGGATGTACCTGGCGTGCCTGACGGTCAACAACTTGAACTTGAATTCTTCCAGGGCAATGACTTCGACCTCAACAACATGCAACTCCCATTTATCGACGCCTTGCCCTTTGACCCAGCTGCCGCAGATCCCTTTCCGCTGAACTATGACCCACTGGAAGCGCCTCCTTTTGGCGTCTTTGACATTGATCAATACATCAACGTCTGACAGGCCATGCACTGAGGTTCGGCCGCCTACCTCTTGGGTGTCTCGAGTCTACTTCTGCAGATTATCTTCGTGCAGAAGGGGTACTCAACGATGTCTCAGGCTCTTTCACATGTACACTATCAGATTTGTTCCCGAATGTACTTTATTCATTTTCCATTCGGCATTTCGAAGCAAATCGCGGTTACGAAGCAAGCGTGGTTATTTTTCGTGGCAACATCAGCCCTCCGATGCATAACGACTTTCGATGAATTGGGGCTTTCATGATTCTACATTCGATATCAAGTGGCCTAGCTTATGAATGTCTGGCGCAGTTTTCGTTTGTTATCTGGTTTCGAAGGGTTTCGTCGGGCTTGCAGTTTACAACGATGTCCTGGTCTTTATTTCTTTCCTTGTTTCCATGAGCACCAACACACTTCTCATCGAAGTCTTTCCTATCGGTGGCTCAATCAGTTAGCATAGCTTAGCTAGTTCAAAAGATAAAAAAAATAATGATAATTGTTTCGAGGTACTTGATCGCTCTCGCAAGTAGGATAGATTGCTCTTTCGAAGGCACTTTAACTTCTACTCTATCTACAATGCGACCTTCTTCGTCGTATATGCTTTGTAGCATCATAGAGTACGGGCTCATTTCTGTTCCTAAGCGGACCAGTAATCCAGAGTACGCTCCCTGATCGAAATCTCGCAATTCCACTCAATTTCCTTGGGACAAACACAAGGTTGAACCAGCATGCCAGCCACCTCGAAGCTCCAGACCCGCAATGGTATGGAGTACATCGTACCTTCACAGAAGTGAAATCAATCCAGCCACCCATCTCCAACCGGCGTTTTCCTTTTAGTTTACATCAGTGAAAGATCTCGAGAAATTTGTCTCCAGTCACCTTCGCCACCGTTCTGTCATTCGTGAATTCGAACGAACTAGAAGGTCGGTATTTCCCTTCTACCCAGCCATCCACAACGACAGACCGATCCACTTCCTTTCAGACTTACTAGCCACCAGCTCCCAGGCAAGTGTGGAGAAAGCTCGGATGAATGCTGGAGACAGCCGTTCACTCGTGGCAAGTTCCGTAAGGCTACCTGCCACCACGAGCCGGAATCAACATGCTTCAGCCTTCACGAGATCGCCGGAATGACTCGAGCAAAAGCCCAGCCGAGGACAAGGTACGCCACCAACATTACTGTCACTGTCAAAGTTCTTATCTATCACACTCGAACCACACCAGTCCAGCCACTCAAGTCTCTTGTCCAACAGAAGCAAGAAGCAAGAAACCAGCCCAAAGTAAGTCGGGCTCGCGGTCCATCCAACCGGCCCCTACACCCGCTCTTTCACCAACTCAACTAACAGACCTAGAACCCAGTGCACAGTACTCATGTTGTCCAAAGAACCAGTCAGTAACCACCGCAGCCCAGCTCACCGGAATAGGAACCCGTTTACAGGGTCCAGACATGCAAAGTTGCTGACTCTCGCATCAGACACCTGCAGGGATACGCCGAGAAGGTAGAACCACCAGCCAAAGCTGAAGCAAAAGCCAGAGCGCGACCGAGAACGATCTGCGACCGGGTCCTACAAGCCTACTTTCTTACAGACCATCCTCGACGACGTCACAGGAAGCGGGGAGAGGGGGTCCCCTTGTTCCCTGACTCCTATGCGGATGCGCGTGGATGACCATGAACAAAGAAATTGGCAATTAGCCCTAATTCTAAACTGCGGGCGTCACGATAAGATTTGCGGTGGGACCCGCGCCAAGACGAACCGGCACCTGTCAGCAGGGAACGTGAGGGCCCAGGGTCGAATGAGAATGCGGCGGCGAATGAGGGGACAAAGAAACCGCGATGGGCGCGCAAGGAGGTCTGTGTGGGATGTGGACTGTGATCCATGCACTGCAGCACTCCATGGACGCAAGGGCTGTCACCTGGTTGTAACTCGATGCGGGTTCAGGACGATCATCTGCATCTGGAATCTCTGGAGGCTTAGCCTAAGCTCGGATACATCAATTGACTTTGTTTTTGGCCTTTTTGTCGACAAAGGATGAAAGTATATCTATCTTTCAGGGTCCAGTTCCGTCCGTACTCCGTACAATGCAAAAGCTCATACCGTTACATACAAGAAAAAATATATTGCTCCCTAGTCTTGGTATATTGAATATATGAAGAAGAGACCGCATAACGAAAGGAATCTGGTCGGAGTAGAGGAAAGAAACACAGAGCGACCGGGGATTAGAGACACAAGAGAGGAAGGGAAAGAAGGATATGATGGACTTGACCATCTGTAAGTACCGAGAGCATGCATGCAATGATAAAATACAACTACATTGCCACCCATGGTTTTACCAAAGGTAGTTTCTACCACGAGCACCACGTGGACGGAAGGCGATCCCGCAAAAGCCACGGACATAGACACATTGTAGACTACTAACTCTCACCAATGGTAATCAGGAATGGAATCTTAATCCTCCTGGTAAGAAATCTTGCGCATCTCTCCAAGGCGTTGACGTGCCCGGGCCAGACTGTTCTCGAGTTGAAGGATTTCGACCTATTCGCGAGAAAACAACCAGTCAGCATCTTCGCAACAGACAACGCGCAAAAAGCAATGTAGCAGATTGGACGAAATCAAGCATACCTGCTGCTCCATTTCTCGCACTTTGAACTCGTGCGAGCTGAGCTTCGCGTAGTCGACCGTCTCCCCTTCATCCCGATTGCGTTCGGCAATGATGTCTTGCACTTGTCGCACCAGAGCACGGCAAGCGGCACCGACCGCCTTGCTAGCGGCCTCGAGGCGATCCTGCGTCTTGCTCATGAAAGTGGCCTTGACTCGGCTGGCAGCCACCAGCTGAGCAGTGCTGGCGGCCACATCGTTACTGGCCACGATCAACTGCTCCGGAGAGTTGCGGCCGGAGATCACACCGTCTGCTGTCTCAATCAGAGTATTGGTCGAGGTGGCAACAGCCTTGGCGGCCGAAATCAGACCCTCCGTCCACCGGTTGTTCTTCTTGTAGAAGGCCGTTCTCGACGAGCTGCCACGGCCCTCACGCACGATTTCCTGCTGCGATGCCGTCGCGGCCTTAATCAGTTCGGCAATCGCGTTGGTAACGGCAATAGCAGCCTCCAAGATCACATCGTTGATGCGAAGCTCGTATGTCGAGAAGCCTTCGCGAGGCTTCGTCTTAAGCTTGGCCAAGCGTGCTGCTGCAGCCTCGATAGCATCGGCGGCCTTGCTGAGCTCTTTGTCCACCAGATCACCCAGGTCGCCGCTGGTACTAATCTTGGTGCTCTTGGGAGCAAACGCGTCAACCAGTTTCGACAACGAC